ATCTAATGTAACTTTTCATATTGAAATCTTCTATGTTGTTTTACGCGTTCTCGGTGTGCTATTCATTATCGTCCCAGTGACTATTTGTCACATTTTTAAAAGCGCGTATGCCAAAGCGAATGCGATAACATTGTTTTCACTGAAAATTCTGTCCACATTGGATGAATGAAGTGCACTCTTGACTTGACCATGCCACTGAACCTTTTCGGATCATGACATTTTGTTTGTTTAAAAGGTCCCACGGAACTCATAATGAGAACACAAATTGGCAAACAAGCTCGTTTTCAGTGTCTTAATCATGCCATTATAACACAATAAATATGACCAGTATCAAAGAAGGATTTACAAGGAAAAAAGAGGGGGAAAGTAATTGAAGTATTCAAGAGTTTGTTTCATAATTGGTCCCCAATTATCACTTGCTCTGATGTTTTTTTGTTTGCTTTGCCTTGCAGGTTGACTTCAACTCCGACCCACGGAAGACCTGTCTACCAGTGTTTCGTCACCAACCCGTGTCCCGCATCCCTACCGCGGATCCCGGCGTTCGTCGCCCGCAAAGCCTCGTATGGTTTCCCGCTGTGAGAATTTGAGCCGAGGAATAGTCTGTCGCACATATCCGTTCACTCCCCTGCACTGCGAGAGCTCGGAGTACGCTCGTATTACATCACCATTACATACCCAAACAGCTTGAACTATTCAAAAGCTTTTGGCATATAACTGAAGCCTAGAGCCAACTAAATCTAGAAGCGCATAAATCCGATGTCTCAGCTGGTGCCTTGTGGAAATGCTTCGATGCGAACAGAGGTCCACTTTGTTGCATATTCAACGAAATTTCTCCATCAAAAAATAAACCGAGAGACAGAAAACCTATCATATCAAAGCAAGACGATGGTTGTACTTGATAGCGGTAGGGAGCAGTTGCACTAAACCAATCTGGAGGATATTCTGGGCTGATTAGCCGTTCATTCCTCACGCCTTCGTTTGGAAAATGATTTCTGAATTTAAAATGCGGCTGAGGCCACATGATATGAAGCCAATATGGAATGCCCAACAAATCGAAGGACGTATGGATTTTACCAACAAATTTAAATCGCGTCGCCTGTCCATTTGGCAGTGGGTTTATCTTGCTAGTGCCCAACGAGTAATTCATGCGGTGAAAGCTGATCTACTAAGCTATTTTTTCGATGAATTTCGTTTTACCTGCCAAAAAAGTGAATATTCATCCCGCCTGACGAGTTAGGACGGAGGTACCTACCGAGTGCCTTGGTATTGGTCTCCTGCACACACCAATCTGAGTATCACAAGATGTTTCGCACTGATAAAGGAGGTTTCTGTAACTGCTACTCTTCGAATGCATTTGCGGAAGACACATTTTTCACAGATGAAGGTTGGTATATCTTCTCGCTCGAGGTTTGTAGTAGAAAACCGTTAGAAATGATTAAATATTATTTTTTCACATTTATGCAGTCTCTGGAGGGGTCACGTTCAGTGTCAAATTCGTTCAATTACCGCGCAGCAGCTGAGATTTTATTTTTTTGATCGAAAACTTTTCCTCTGTACCAGAAACACGGATAAGTTAACTCCCTTGACATTGGTTGTCAGTGTTTAGGATGTGCAGTGTATTAGAGGAAACTTGCAAATTCTGTTTGACAGTCAACTTGGTAGAATCCATATTAAAGCGACTGTCTGTGGTGCTCAGAAATGAAGAAGGGAAAATGGACGAGATGAAAGTGCAATACCTGTATGATGTCTGAGTCATTTTAATAAATGAATTCTAGTTACATTTTCTACTGTGACTTTATTTTCCAACTGATGCGCAAGTGATTATCGTCAAAATCGTACACTTTAATGGCATGTGGCTAATAGAAGCAAAGACAAAAGCGGGTATTATATGAGATATGTTACCTCCGATGTAGGGCATCATCATGTCCAATCCCTTGAATGAGGCTGAAAAAACGAAGCATCGAGAGGAAAAAATGTTATAAAAATCAGGATATTGCACGAGTTTGGTCAATATCTGTATATATATAAACCGATCTTGGTAGCGGCCGTTCTGTCTCGCACAACCTGATGTGGACCATAAATCACGTTGCTGGAGTAACCAATTCGACGGAAGACCCACAAGAGGTCGCCAAGTTAACTCTAATCAGTCCCTCACGGTTTGTAACTGGTAGCTTCGGGACGCAGGAGAGCTTTGAAGGAACGAACCCCGATCCGATCTTGCTAATGTGAAAAGAGACCGACAGAGACTTATTCCATTGATGCAAATGATAACAAGGTAAAATACCAAACCATTTCCTGAGGATTGTATTTTTACAGGTTGAACCACACGACAGTTCTTGACTATCAACATCCTAAATCTCCCATCAAAAATCACTTCAAGGGACAATGAAATGCATCAAGTGAAAGGACAACACAAGGATTGCATCAGAATGCCGTCAAAGAAAGCAAAAGCTTTACACGGAGACTCTTGATCACAAAACCCCATGAGCACTAGCATGCTGAAAAGAGGAAACCTGGTTTGATTTACAAGGCACATTAAGAAGTTTGACGACAACAGCAAACTGCATAAAGAAAGGAATGAATACATCGGAATAAACGCCCCAGGCGTCATCACTGATTAAGAGGAGTGATGTACAAATATAATTAGATCATGGGATGGGGATGTTAACAAGGTGTGACAACTGTGATCTGAAAATGGGCGCCGGTATTGGAAACGAAGTTTTCGTTAATCAGACAGGGCTACACACTGCCACAGAATGGACGGTATCAAATCTACGGATAAAAGTAGACAAGTGTTAGAGCACCAAGCCACAGTGCAACGAAACATTCGTTCATTCATTCAGTATCCGCATAGTCTTCACCACATGGCACATTCAAGTTTGGGGACATTTGATCCATTAGGCTAGATAAATTCGATTGAGTCTCGGGGATATCCTTATTATTGTTGTATGAAATACCATTGCGCAACATCACATCTACCCCAGGAAGTGTATCGAGGGGAGTGAACACGTCAGCGGTAGACAAGATATTGCAAACAGAACTTGATGTTGTTTCATCCGGATCAGTAAGGGAACTGTCAATCTGTGAACGTTGTCGTGGGCGCTTTGGGACTTTAGCATCAGGTGGAACCTCGGAATCGGTGTGTACATTAATTCCAATAGGGTGCTCTGTTGGAATCACTCCCCATTCCAATTCGTTAGTTGCATCACCAGCATCCTCATCTTCGAAATCATCCGGTGGACCAAGATGCCATTTTGGGTGTTTCGAATCGTCTAGAGACACTATGGGAATCGAATCTCGCGTGCTATCAATCAGAAACAATTGGGTTCCGCAAATTGTGGCCAGTTTTAGTTCTCGAGGGTGCCAGGCAAGATGAAGCAGTTTGCGTTGGCAATCTAACTGTTGCAGATCTGGAACAGAAGGAGTTGTGTTATTAGAATAATCATCCGGGAAAAGCTGACGGCGAGCTAACTTCTTCCGAATTTGTTGTTCCGTTAGAGAGGACAGGTTTACATTAATCTCCGAAGTTCTGCTCAGCCCGTTGTGTGACACCGAACTCGTAGTCGATGTACTTAGTTCACTCGGATTACTGTACAATCTTCGTTTTCGCCTCCTTCGGCGGCGCACTGATGAAAGGCAGTCTGTACCGTTGTCACCTAACTCACCGATTCTAATTGATGGAGCAGAAAGAACTTGTTTACGACGCTTAGACCCAGTCGGTGGGGAACCATCATCGTCATCTTTACGAGACGGAGCAGACAGAGGGGAATCGGCAGAACGATCGTGTGTTATCGGTGATCGGCTATCTTCGTTTGTTCCACCTTCGCTAAAACAGCTGTCCGGCGAGCTGCTTGAGCTACCACCAACACCGCCTCCACCGCTACTACTATCTGAATGAAGCAGAAATGCATCTAGGGATCGAACTGAAGCCACACACACAGTAGTCAGACCAAGACAACTGCCGATTGGGTCTTCAGGTGAGAGAAATCGCTTAGGAAGAAGAACATCCGGTTGAGCACTGGAAGGATTGGGTGTCTGTGCCGGATTAGAGTCGCCGGAATCATAAAGCCAATCGGTCCCGTTTGTTCGATCGAAAATTCGAAACAGGTTACCGTAAGAGCCGGTGAGCAAGTACCTGAGGAAGTCCAAAAGGAAAATCACATAGTCGTAAGCGCATCCATCGCCTTTACCCAACGAACACGATGTAGCTGTTATCAGAAATGCATCAACAAGACAGAAGATGAAGGTTATCATAAAATCGGCCGTCTGTATAATTGAGTAGTTTGAATAAACCGTGAAGAATAGCCACCGATAACGAGTTGATTTTATGTGAAAGTTCAAAAAGTATTTGAATAAATGGGGACAATTGTACAGATTCATACAGACAATACGGCAACGTCATTTTGAGGAAACCTAATCGATACAACGAATCTGATAATGACAGCAAACTGCACAAGGAAATGGATGAATCGATTCGATAAGACGCCCCAGTTGGGAATAAACAAAAGGCAAAAGTTTCATTTTCTGCTATTGAGAACAGCGATCGAATGGTACGAGTTAGTGTGGCTGGCGAAATAATCAGTCAATCACGAGTTGAAATGTGGCTATTTTTCGTTATCCACAATCAGCCTCCACTTTTTCCAAGAAACTTATAAAAAAGAAGTCAAACGATGATTATATAGCGTATTGAATGGATTGTAGTGGCTACTTTGGGAGTGAGACGGCACAGAGTAAGAAATGTTACACAAGTACAGGTTTGACCAACAAGAAAGAACAGATGGGTTGCACCTTTGAAGGGAACTGCATTGGTTTTTAAATGCAATGGAAATGTTTGTGTTTGGCCGATGGCCGAAGACCATCAAGGGTGCCTGATGCCTCTGAACAATTGAGTGGGATAATTCGATGCGGCATTTACCGAGGTACTATGACCAGAAGGACACGGAGGTTGATTGGTTAATACGTTTCGAGCCAATGATCTCTTTTTATATATACCACTTAATCAGTTTGATTTCTTTCAGTGAACTAGTATCCACTTTCAAGGTCTCTCCTTGTGTCTCAGTACCTAGGAATTACGATAGATAATTGTCTGATTGGTGATCTTTGAGTATTTCCACTACAACTTATTGAAAATCGACTGGTGTTCGGTTTCAGCATCAATGTTCTACAGAAGATTTGCTTCTCACCAAGTTCTCACATATTGTTGAAAAAGAAAACAAGCGATCCTGCAAAGGCGGCATTGTTATTCTTATTGGTATCACCGCTGTCGTTATTGTAAGGCGAAAACCATTGAAGTGAACTTCGCTGATCGCTGCTAATACCAGCACAGCAAGTATGACAGGGCGACGGGGTTACTGAGTGGGCTTGTCTTGAGGTGCGGAGTGAAAAGTGATTCACTGTGGTCAACACAGGGAACACATTCTAATTATATATATACACCCTTTCTCAAGCATTATCACCTGGTAGAAAGTGACTACAAGAACGTGAATGCTGTGGTTTTACAGGAATGCTTCTAATCAACTAATCACTTGATCTTTTGGACCCCCAAATTGGAGGCAGGAGACAATTACTCGACCTAATCAATCTGTGTATTCCGGAATACGGCATCTCTGGACTGGCATGCAAGTTTCTCATGTCCAGAGCGGTAACTGTAAATAAGGCCTGGTGCGGTGGACGACAGCTGGGCATCTGTAACATCTATTCTCAACTTCGAAGTCGGGGTAACGAACACATCGACAGAAACACTCTCAAATACACGAGGGCTTAAATGGATGCTAATAAACCACTGGATCCATTTTAAGAGCACCCAACTGCGTAAACAAAGACAGTCGAATACTTTAACACAAACTGGAAGTACCACAATCACTAACTGGAAATAGTCAAACAGTTTTGTGCTATACGTGAACTTTTGATTTCAAGAAACGTCCCGTCAACGCGGAGGATGTTTCAATCTAGCGTACGCTGCTCGAGCTTTGTAAATGGGAGCAGCTGCCCCATCTACTACGCTACCGTCATTACTGACACAAATGCTTAGGTAATAGAAGCAATGCATCATAGTTTCTGACTACCAAGACCGTCGCAAGTGCCGTGGTAACACCAGGTCACTTAAACTGTACGCTAAAATACTGTCCAGGGATCAGGAAGCTGCTCTTGCCCACTTTTACCACAGAGGATGTCGCTGATCGGTATCCGATGTCCTCTGGCACGGTGTGAAAGAACCTTATATGCTTGATGAGGCACGTACTTCTATTCCACCAGCTATTTTGGACTACTAGTTTTCACGATCTTCCTTGAGGCATTTTCAGATTTGACTTTGTAGACGCAATCGGTCCCTTGGGGATTAAGAACTTTTATGTTTTTCATCAGGACTATTGACTACTGAAATCCAATGTCTTGGAGTAAGGATCCGAAAGGCTTGCTGTTGGATGTATTGCATGTCTTTCTTGCATACTCCACCATATCATGATAATTCTCGCTCATGAATAACCATTTCCCAAAAACGACTGCAAACAGAGGAGTCATGCAGATGCGCTTACTGAGACTGTGATAAAGCCCGGTGAGGAATGAGACGAAGGGATAAATGCATCGAAACGATTGTGATCAGACAAAATCCAGGTGGTGTAATATGATCTGCAATTCCGGACTATGACGGGAAGACGGTAGCTTACAGCAAAATGGCTCTTTTAGATCCGGTCACCTATGAAACGATAGGCATCCATATCACCTTTAGGCATAGTCGCATCGTGCAACGGCCAAGTTCAGCAGAAACAAATCAGAAAAATATTCAATGAAAAACGAGTCTCGCATTCACACATCACACATTGATAATGACAAGCTGGCAAGAGTTGATCACGTCAGTGAATTTGTCACCCTTCGGCAAAGAAAATAAGACACCTTTACACTGGGAAGGATTCATTCTAAGGTTGTATTGTGAAGATCAGACGGTGAGCAGTGAAGTACTGTGCATAAGTTTTGGGTGCATGGATGAATTCGAAAACCTCATACCATAAGCAACATCACTGGCATGTTTGGTGAGCAAACACTCATCAAAAGCCGTAGTTTAATGTAAGTATTTGCAAAAAAATCTCCCACTTTTATCCTCATATAATTTGTGAAGAAACCAATTGCTTTTGCCGTATTACACAAACCAGAACAGAGCGAATTCGTGAAGTTCTTGGAGATGATGCTCTACGGGACAATTCGATAAGCTAAAATTAGGTTTCAAAATGAATAGTGCATTCATTTGCAACCAGTTTAATCACTTTTACTATTATTTTACTAGTACTAATTCCATTGGCTTGAATACAAAACTTGGGTTTAAACGGTGCTTCGTGGCTTACAGTTAGAAGCACGTCTCTTCATCGAGGCGGTTAGTTGTGATAGAGACAAACTTCATGCCTGTTGATTGCCGTCTGAAGTAGGAATGTGCTACATTATCAGTACCTGGACCAGCGTGCGACAACAGTTGAGGACAATGCTCCACGGTCAAAGAACTGAGGAAAAAGGCTAAGGGACAGAATGAAAATGTGCCGAACACGAGGACGTGGCTGACAGGAACAGCTGCAGAGAACTGTATTAGTCGATCGTCGTTAACTGTTGCCTGACTCAGTACGACAAAAAACTTTCAAAACAGGAATGAGTTATAATCAACCTACCCAACCTACACAATAAAACCAACACAACTGGATTACAGCAAAAGCTCAGACGAATGAGTTCGGTAAACGTATCCAAGAATTAGTCATTTTGTCACTGGGCCTGTAGTTGTTCGGCTCAAAATCTGAAATGATGAGAGAACACATTTTTATGTTTGTTCCTTTCCGAATACCGACTGTAATCTGGAGTGTCATCGAGCAAAAGCGGCTATCGACGAAACCTAGCAAGCTAGAGCAATATTGCCTCCTAAGCTGCAAACTATTGATACAGTAGGAAAATCCAAAAAGGACGCCATATTCGGTTGCCTATAATATCTTATAGGCAATAGGTAGACCCATATCGACGTAAATCAGATGTACTGAAATTTTAAAATGAAGCAGTTCGTTTTTATTAGTGCGTACCTTATTTGCAACATGTGAACGGTGGATGAGTGAGCACCAGGCTGGTGTTTGACCTGGTCGAGGTTGCATTGGTCACACCTTCACTCTTCGCCGAAAACTGGAGCATCGACATTCTTTCCGTAGACCCACCACGTCAGCTTTCCTCGATTTGGGAGCGATTTTCGACTAAGTCGACCGCCCTAAATTCCGGCGCTGCCTTTCTCTGAAAGGTGTCCGAGAAGTTTATTTCAATTTTGCGATTAATTTATACTCATAGCCGTAGTCCAGTGGGCGCTTACAGTACGTTTTTGTCCGCGTTCAATAAGGAACGCGGAGTTCGTCAACGTTGCCCTATATTTATTTTCAAACTGACTTTGTTGTAGATTTGATTATGTAAACAGCCCTATCCATGCGCAAGACTTACTGGAACTAAAATCCCGGGTTGGTGGTACGGACATACAACAACTCTTCGATCCTGATACTTCAGTCTTCTGTGATAACCTTACCAATTAACTTAACTATTGTTATGATGTGTGCTGCCCTCAGGAAAGGATTCATCTACAGCCCAATTGATTCATCTCCGATAGACTGAAATGATTACGTAGGCTGAAGGAAAGGGCGTATCCTTCGAGAGATAGAATAACGGTCAAATCTGTCAACTTTCACATCAGAAGCGAGATAGCATATCCCAATCAATTGTATGCTGATACCGTGCTAGGAGACAAATCCTGCCGTCAGCTTTGGAACGGACTGAAGTTGCTCTGTGGTCGTTCAACTTTACCTACTACAGTCTCGCGTGATATCAATGAGCTCGACAAATCATTTGCTTCAGTGAAAAACGTTGTGCAAACTTTGCCGAGTCCAAACGCAATGTCACTTGATTTCCACCTTCCTGTGTCTGTCGCAATAGAGCAAGTTTTAAAGGAGTTAAATGCTGTCAATGGAAATAAATCCGCTGGTCCTGATGGGTTATCCCCAGTGGTCCTTAAAACATGTGCAAACCAGCTCGCACAAACCGTTTCATTTACCTTCAATACAAGTCTGTCAGAAGGAAGACTAGTTAACACATGGCGTGATGTGCGCATCACTCTAGTACCTAAGAAAGAAAAGGGTAAGTTTCGGCCTACTGCTTCATCTTCAGTATTACTTAAGACTTTTGAGCGTATTATTATTATTAAGCACCAATCCTCTGATCTTGATTTTCGTGATTCCAATAAGTTTGCTTATTGTAAGCGTCGCTCTACTTTAGATGCGGTTGATTGTCTTATACATTCTGTTTTATCCACTATAGACCAAAAAGAAAAAGTTATTCGTTTGTTTCTTGGACTGCACAAACGCGTTTAACTCTGTCGACAGAAACATCCTATTGACACTGTTACAGCGAAATAATCTCTAGCCACATCTTTTGAATCGGATGCACGACTATTGTACCGACCGACGCCAATTCACTTGTCTCAATGGTATTAGGTCTTCCATTGTTACTGTAAACCAGGGTGTAATGCAGGGTGCAATTTTATCCCTTTTCTGTTCTCCTTTTGTATTCAAAACTTGACAGTCACCCCAAATGTTTTTAACTTTTAAATATGCCGATGACATAGTAGCTATTGGTGCATCTCACAACAACAAACCTTCAACTAACCCCCTTCAATTAGCCATACTTTCCGTTTCTGAATGGTCCGATGGTGTTAACCTTTCTTTAACCTCCAATAAATGCATTGAGGTTTTGTTTTCCATTGACCGTAGGCCATCAACTCTTTCTGGATCATCTGTTCCCAATATCTTGATCAATAACTTTAAGGTTGAAAGATCAAAGCACTTCAAATATCTTGGATGTTTCGTTTCTGCTGACCTCAAATGGTCCTATCACGTAGAACAAACATTTCTTAAAGTCAGAAAGTTGACCTTTTATATTTCACGCCGCCGGCATCTCAGGGTGCCATTGTACATCATCTCCAAACTTATTTTCTTATGCGTTTTATGCCATTAGACCTACTGCTCTCCCGTTATCTTTCCCGGTCTACTGTCTAAGGATTTCACATTAATTAGACGCTCTCTGTAAAGCATATCTAGATATAGAGCTGCATGTTAGGAGGAGCTGGTTGAAACCATTTTCAACCAACACCTGAATGCGTGTGACCGTCTATGTGACTCCATCTTGCCCGATGCGTCACATCCCTATCTAGCTCCATTTCAACTTCTGTCACTCGCAATAAATTTAAACCTTTATGTACTCGCACCACTGCGTTTCACAACTCCGTTTTACCTTACCTTTCACGTTTGTTGGTTTCTAGGGAGCAAATATCAAACGAACTTATACACAATCTAATGTAACTTTTCATATTGAAATCTTCTATGTTGTTTTACGCGTTCTCGGTGTGCTATTCATTATCGTCCCAGTGACTATTTGTCACGTTTTTAAGTTCATTTTTAAAAGCGCGTATGCCAAAGCGAATGCGATAACATTGTTTTCACTGAAAATTCTGTCCGCATTGGATGATTTGGCTTGGCTTGACTTGAGAATAGTGGGATCGATTTACCTCCAGGTGGCAAACTGTCTGATCTGGAGTACGCAGATGACATTGTGCTACTAAGTGAAGATCCAGGTAAATTGCAAGGTTTACTGGATAGCTTGAGCGCCAGTGTTTTGCACCTTCAAGTGTAAAATGTTACTAGAAGACCGGGTTGTCCAGAACTCAGCCTCACAGTAGCTGGGGAAATAATAGAGTAGAGGATACGTTTTGTTATTTGGGCAGCTAGATCTCACCGGGTGAACGCATCACGGATGTAGTGTCAGCTCGCATACAGAAGGCTCGGTTGGCATCTGATAACTTGAGACATCTGTGACGCCGTCGAGTGTATGCGGTGGCAGTTCGGCAAGTTCTGCTATGCGGTGCAGAAACTTGGCCATTAAGAAAACAGGATAAAGATAGACTGTCGGCGTTTGAAAACCGCTGTCTACGCAGCATTGCACGAATATGGTTGAACAGCTGGAGGAGCAATGCTGAAGTTAGGCGCAGAGTTTTGGGTGACCGCGGTCACCCACTGCAGGAAGTGGTCAACCTTCATAGATCACGTTGGTTGGGGTATGGTACGCATGTCACGAAATAGATTGCCACGGCAAGTGATGTTTGCCGAGGTAGGTAGTGGGTGAAAAAAGCCAAGGGTGGTCAACTTAAGACCTGGCACGAGGGTATGAAATCCCTAGCCAGGGGACTGGGGCGCATAGGTCCGGTTAGGCTCCCTGGATGGAGACCTCAGGATGATCGGAACCGATGGTTAGAGACACTGATTGGTATGTCGTAAACAGTGGCCTTTGTGTATTTTATCAATTTATCTGCAACCTTAGACCACTGAAACTATCCATTTTCTGTTCGACTCTACTTTTAACTTTCCTGTCTCCTATTCTTCATCCAAATGGGGACCAAAAGACAGCAACCAAAACGGCCGAAGGTGCATGGTTAGTGATTGTGCAAACTGAAACTGAACTGAAACTTCAACGGAATCAAGCTTATTTTTCAAGCAACTGTCATCGACGATAGGAAAAACAAATCAGTGACATGCAGCAATTACTTCAAAATATTCCAATGACGCTTATCTATAGCGCAACAAGGTAAAATCTGTGGTAGCGAAGCTACATATTGAAAGCTCAACTGAGCCACAAGGAACAGAATGGGTTAGACAACGGAAAAAGAGACCAAAACTCACCGATCATCATTGGACCAGCAACAGAGAAATTTGTCAAATATGGCGTCGTTCTCATATAGCATGCACAACTGTGAGCGGAATGGTTCGTGGACAGGATAGACTTCACACGGTCGGTCGCTCATGCGCATATCCCAAACTGAAACGCGGATAAAGGGATGCGGATATAGTCAAAAATATCTATACTGATGCTTCAATTCATCTTGCAAAAAAGCAGAACTCGTTGATGTAAGTTTCCACTCATGATGATCGATGCCACAAACCGAAAATAGGAAGACGACTGTGAATTGCCTTGTTCACTCTTGTGTTTATTCTGAGTGAATGATTATGATAAAATGTAACATAAGATCTGCAGAAAAAAAGTATGATTACCATCACCATCGTAAACATCGCACAGCGACTTACAGTAAAGTGGGTTGGTTTTGAGGGCATGAGGGAAGCGGAACCTACTTCAAAGACTATATGTCGTAGGTGAATGAATATTAAATCTTTCTGAACCAATAGGATCTGACGAGGAAGAACAACTGGAACACCGCTGCCGCCGATCCGTTGCCGTATTCCTCAGTATCTCTTGGCTTAGTACCATAAAACGAAAGATATCTAAACTCCCTCGACATTTCTTCAGAAATCACCTGCACGGGATCTATTAACCTCCGCTTGGTTCCTCCACCGTGGAGCGGAAACCGCAAGCAAGATGTGTTGGACAACTGCTGGGGTAGATGGCCCGAGCCTTTGATATACGTGTGACTACCTTTATTGTGCTACGGCCTGTAGTATTCATCGAAAGTGGTTTTAATATACACGGATACTCGTTCCAGACCCAAAATTTGCTTTTTCGGTTCTCGCTGCACAGTGAATATTTCATAGCATAATATAAAGGTGCAATTAAAAACCGAAACCACTATCCATTCGCATTATTCCCTGGACGAATTTTCGTTCGAATAGGGACTTATTTTGAGCATTAGTTGTTGTATGAAATAGTCACTCACCTTTGAGGGTAAGGTAGTCTCGGGCGAGCACGTGATGGCCTGAATGATCGAATCGGAAATCCGACAGACTGGCAATGATGTCCGCAAAAAAACCAAGATTTTGAGTTAACCGAGGATCTTCAAATGCTTTGAGGTTCGCAAAGGAATCCAATGAAAAGGTCGCAAGATAGAGTGGCGAAGCGATAAGTGGCAGTTCGAGAGGGGTACAGTATCAACGATCAACACCGAATGAAAAATGGGCTCGACTAAAACCTCATTAGCAATGTACTCGAAATTGGCAAACAAACCAGCGTAGAATCTACTGAATGAGAATAACCGTTATCGTCATTTACCCAGGAATTTCGTTAACAGTATTAGAGGGGGATTCAGTCACGTAGAGTTAACGCACAGTACTGGAAGTTCGCAAACAAAATAATAGCACTTTTTTCATCTTTTATTACACACTTTCGTGTGACGAACAGTAGACGGGGAAAGCCTCATAGCCACGAGGGCCTGCTGTTCAGTGATGGAAACCGGTAACACAATCCCCGGGACCAGGAGTAGCGATCCACATAAAACCTCGATAGGTTGGGTGTGGCTTCGGACCGGACGACAGCAAAGCTGCCTTAGAAGAACGATCGCATAAGACACCGACAGGATAGCCGTAATACCGACCCATACAACAACAAAGCTCTCTTCTATCAAAGACTCAAACCACGGACCGAGTGAGCTGATACGCATGAAACACTTCGTTACTTTGCTACGAACGGTTGATTCGAAAGGATAAACAGTCTTCATGCAGACCATAAAGTTTTGTGGGCGTTGGTTACAAGAGACGTTACTAATGTCACCTGGATTTTTCTAGGATGCACCTTTAACGTTTGCACAACTAAGTGCGGATGGCAAGACAGCAGTGTGAAACTGCGTGCTTGTCGGTGACTTATTCGTCAGTCGATAGACGTAGACGCTAGCCGAGGGTCAATGCATCCCTTTTCCTAGGACTGATTCTTTTACAGCCGTTGTATCAGGCATTAGATCTCCTCCAGCCACCATAGGGCAGGTGACTCTGCAAGCAAAAAGCTATTTTATTGATACATTTGGGCGTCGGTTTCTTTAAACCTGATTGATGGGTTTGTCGGAGGGTGGCCGCCAATGCATGCTTCAGTTTCTTGCGGCGATAGATAAGAACGGGATAAGTGATGGACATCCCCAGAGGTGGAGTATATGCATGTATTCAGAACATTACCAATTAAGAGAAAGTTGGCAAAGTGTCACAACATGAGTTGCACACAAGTTATGAATGCATGTTACTTCCGGGGCCGAAAAGTAAATTAACCTGGATTTCCCAACCGAAATCTTCGACCAAACACTCAAATCTACAAAGCAGCGGCAAACGATGGAGATCAAGAAGCTAGAAGTACTAAATCATGTAAGGGGGACATCATTCTCCGCTGTCGATCTTGTGTGGGATGACCGATCAAGAAGAGAAAATAGATACACTGACCTTTGCTAATAACTACATTTTCGTTGCAATCCATGCTAGCGATCGTACTGATATTCCGCACCGACGTTTAGCGTTTTAGCGGTCGCATACATACATACACGGTTTGGAGTTCGGTTATACATACGCGCGAACGTTTCCACTTGTGCTCACACTGGCTTCGCTCCTTAGTGCACCATTTTGCTTGCAATCCACGCATCAATGTGGGTACTCCTTAGTCCATACTGGTGGAAATCCTCCGTGAAGGTTTGCTGGTAAACGTTTCAGACAATGAATTTTCAAGTCCGTTTTGGTTGTTACTCAGTGGTTTTGATCACTCAAAAGACCAGTTTAAAATATTTTCACAACTGATCGTTAGCCGATACACTTCACGTGATTGAAGATTACCACGAATTCTTTTATATACTAAAATGAGCCGTCTATAAGCTGTTTGAAGATTCCCAAATGCATTTGCGCTGGTGTGAGTGTTTCACTTTTCATGACCAAAGCTACACATAGACAGTATTTAGCAGACATCAGTTCCATCTGACTCATGAAAAAACCTTAAGAAGATAATGACGGATGAATCAAGCATTTCCTCCCCCGAGATCCCCTTATTCACCGTGTACTAGTCAACTAGCTCATTCACAGTGGCGATGCTTCAAGAAAGTCACGGTCAAGAACCAAGGAGACTAAAGCAGAACACCATCACTGTTATTTGTGCTTTGTATCAAAAACTGTTTAGCTGCATAACACAAGGGACCCTATCTGAATGAGGTGATCTGCAAGCTGACGAGAAGCAAATCAAACGTCGGTGTTTGAACACCGCCGTCCACGCAACATTGCACGAATCTGGTACAACCGCATACACTTAAAAGCGGTGCGACACAACTAATAAATGTTTCATTTTCACAGAGATTTCACACTAAATATAGACTGTCATAACACGCAAACGTTGTAATTCACGTGTTGTCATCATGGGTAGATTAAAACATACATAATTCAGGGGTATAACCGAATGGATCGGAAGGCATTCGAAAGGATAGAGAATTGTGAAAATGTAAGTCAAGAAGACCTCATTCTCATACTAGCTGAAGCGAATAGTTTTGAGTTAGTTTTTATATCCCTGCAGTAGAATTCAGACTATTTTATCACCCAAATCTCCTTCAGATCAATCCTCATTTTAGGGGCAATACTATATTTTTTACTTTCTACATGTGACGAAAACCAAAATGCTCAAGGACGATGGTATTATTTGTTCTTATTCTCTATCGTTTAACGTAAAATCATATCTACCTTACTCCCCTCGCAAGTAACTCCATCCTGGATAAATGCATCGCAAATCCCTTGGGCGTTTCTGAACTGTCCTATGTATGCAAACATGGTAATCAAAATCCCCCACATGTAACTCTGAGACCTCTATCCCCTTTAGCATCACTCTACCCGAGTATTTCCATGCACTTTGTTGTTTTTCTTCCGAATGTTTGCTACACAGTGCAACCATCACATTTCAATAAAACAGGAAAAGCGACTGTGCTGCAGTGCTCACTTGAGACTCTAAACACGAGTAAAGACAACACGGATCCCACCTTATCACAAATTTACAGGTGGATCTAATAACATGCTTAAATCAGCTCTCTAATGTTGCTAGCAGTTTTACAGTTAAACTAAAAGAAAAAAGTCTGTACGATGGAACAGTGGTAACGCACACGCCTTTCAAGCGATGAGTCCGGAGTTCACATCCCGGATGGGACAATGGACATGCACTTTTTTATTACACACCTGGGCGAATCCCATAGTCACGGGGATCTGCTGCTCAGTGGTGGAAACCGGCAACCTAAGCCCCGGAACTTAGAGTGGCGAACCACATAAGGCCTCCATAGGTTAGGTGTGGTATTGAACCGGACGACAGCAGAGCTGCCTACCACAGTCGGGTGGCGGGGTTCGGACACTACTGATGGGTCTAATAAGAGCGGAACTCGAGTCTAGTGCTTCCGAGTGTATGGTTGAATCGGTGAATTGAGGATTGTGCTTGAAGGTGAAGTCCGGAGGATAGTCAGCTCAAGTCAATAAAATATCAGAAGAGAAAAAAAGTTGTTCTGAGTACAGGTTGGGTAGTTTTCAGATTTTTCTTTTTAATGGAAACAAAGGTTTCTCCTGAGTATAAAAATGATGGCTTGATGGAACCAGTGCCAATTACAATAAACGTACGGACAGGTCCATAAAATATTCTAATAACAGCAGTGAAGACTTAACAGAAGTGAGATTTCACTTACATTCTGCAACTGGAAGCGGTGATGAGTGAGCTTACTGACAATAAGGATCGATGATCGTGAATAGGACAGTCCCCGGGCGTAGAGGTAAGGTGTATTCGAATGTATTCATGAGCAAAAGTTGAAACTGAGAAAATCCTCAACGAATTAAACCCATGACTATAACCGATACTCAGAAAAATGACATGCATACAGTAAGGGAGAACACCACAGGGAGTTTCGATTGGACCTACCCAAAACGTGATTATCACACAGCGCCCGAACTCGCATATCGCATAGTCGGATCAGGCCGCGGCTGGTCGAATAGGCTAATAAATGACATTCAGCCGGATGAAATCGCGCACAAGTAATGACCTCAGAAAGATCTTCCATGTTCGGTGGCTTTAGGTCCACGATTGCTACAAATATAGGCGAAGCAAAATAGACGGAATTTATAGACACCTAAACACAATATAAAATAAAGGTGCACACATCATACGTCAAAAAGCCTTCTCCAGTAAGGAACAGAGAACAACGGCCAGTATTGCAAGACTGCACATATGGTGTATCCTAAGGCTGAACGAACAAAGTGTAGTCAAAGTGAAACATACTGCAAAAAGTACGGGAGCCCAAAGGGAAAAACATGAGTATATAAAAAGATTTTGTTATTCTTGATTTCAAGAAGTTTTCAGTTCGGTATGTACAACCATTTACCATACACATTCGGGCACTGGTTTTTTTTAGTTGCCCATTTGGATGAACAGTAGGAGAAAGACAGGAAATCTGAAAGCAGAGTAGAACAGAAAATGGAGAATTTCAGTGGACTAAGATTGCAACGAAGCCGAAAAGAGGCATAAACACAAATGTTCACGACACGCGACAAAACTACTACTTAGTGCCCTTACCCACCGGTTAAGATCATCTTGAGATCTTCCTAGAGGGTACCTAACGCGATCAATGTGACGGAGTCTCTTGGTTATGGTTTTCGTACCGAATTGCCATGTCTTAGTTTGAACACCATTGGCTTTATTCCACACACTTTAAGTCTCGGGAAACATGGAACGCCGCGACAACCTATGTGGTGGCATGCGTAACACATGCCCCAACCAACGCAATCTATGGTCGAACACTTGCTCCAGTGGGAGCCAACAGTTACCTAAAATTCTGCACCTAACCTCAGCATTGCTCGTCCGGATGCTCACCAGATTCGTGCAACGCTGCGTGGATAGTGGTGCTCTAACACTGACAATCTATCTTTATCCTGTTTCCTTAATGGTCAAAATTCTGCGCAGTATAACAGAACTAGCCGAACTACCGCAGCATACGATCGACTTTACACGGACAGCCGGATATCGCGCTGGCGCCACAGATGTCTCAAGCAAACAAATATCGATAGAACCTTTTATATACGAGCTGACACTTCATCCGTGATGCGTTCACCCGGTGAGATCTAGCTGCCAAAATAACAAAACGTGTCCACTTCTTCTTACTTCTCCAGCGAGATTGAGGATGGGTACTGAACCAACTCAGCCCTGTAGCAACATCTGACACTTTGAAGATGCATAACGCATACGCTGGCACTCACGTTATCCAGAAGAGCTCGCAACAAACCTGAATCTTAACTTAGTACTACAATGTCATCTGCATTCGCTAGATCAAACACAGACCGAATGTGGCCACTGCAATTGTTAATCTATCCAGTGCGCTTTGCGCGTCCTCCATACATTCGAACAGACAGATGATATCATCGGCGTACTCCAAATCG